TGCCTTTTACAGATTCACAATATAACCCTGCCTTAATCATTCAACAACTATAATATGCCTACAATAAAATTCCATTCCCACTATGCAACAAGAGAGTATTCTCTCACGGTGCCCATAACATTCGGCACTAAGAGGAAGCAGCTGGGGTGCAATAGTTCTTTGTGGGTGGGCTGCTTTATCTGGTGTAGTGGGGAAAGCACAGGAACTGAGGAAAATGAGACCCTAATAGTTCACAGGCCATCCAAACTAGTGTTACAGGAATGGTGGTGCTGCGAGCTAACAGGACGGAAATTGCCAGGTGAGGGGATGGTTATTTGCTCACAGTCTGAAGCATTACCCAGCATTCCCAACATCCTCTCAGTAAAGGTTCAAGTGCAGACATAGATGAGTGAAATAGTACTGAGTAATAGCCCCAGAATTTTTGTTTAAGGCAGTGAACATAGTTTACATTTTCAATTCTCAGTAAAATGATGCTTCACACAGTTCCAGTAGCTGTATTTCTCATCATTTTATTCCAATGGTGAATCTAATTCTGTGCTAATTTCTCAGGTGTTTGTTATAGACTGTAACATAGGCAACTTGTTTTAAGATGGAAATCATTAAAGAAATACACATGAAATATCCACAAGCTGAAAGCATATGGAGTTATTTTATAACAGAAACATAGTCAGTGCTGGACTCAGGGAGATACTGCTAATAGCTCCTGCACAGGTGTTGGCAAAGAATGTCTTCTGCCTTGTACAGGATAATTTCCTCAGTACGAACACTGCAGTGTGAAAGTAACATATTCCTTTTGGTTAAAAATAGCCCCCCTCTACACTTTGCAGAATAAAAATAAATGTTTTCTCACATTCCCAATCTACCAGCAGCTTCTTAAAGCAAATGTGAATTTCTAGTGGTAGACATATTTCCCTGGAATTTGGGAAGAAATGTTTCAATTTGGGAGTCAAACACAGAATAACATTTTTAAAACATATGCTTTTTCAATTTTTTAATATTTTAAATTATAAAAACATACTAACAAAATGAAAGTAAGATTTTCTTCTTGACTATAATCAGGTTTCTTAGATGGTGAGGGTATTTAGAGTATATATCTAAGGAGTTATATGACATAACAGGAAAGGGAAAAGAACCCTTAGCATCTTATTAATATGCTAATAAATTTAGATAATGATGTCATACTTTCATGTAAAATTTAAACATTTGGTCATCAGTCACATCTAGGGTTCCATTTTATATTCCTAAGAAGCCTGAGAGGATTACAGTTAGGGTTGATATAAAGGTGGTAGCTGTAACCAGGTTGGTCAGAGTGGCCACCTGGACCTAGGAAGGAGCAAGGAGAGGGATCAGGACCCAGCAGAAACCCAGAGATCCGTGGAGATCAAAGTTAGGTTCAGGAGTCCAGTGTCTCAAGCCAGGATGTCTGTACAGTCAGAATGGGCCCTCAGGTCTCAAGTGGTTGGGTTGGATCTCAAGTCAGTAGACTGCGTAGGGATTATGAGTCCATTACTAGGCTGGTGGCCGCTTGCTTTAAGCTAACAGTGAGCTGAGGCCGTGGTTGGCAGGTGTGGGACAATGGCTGTAGCTGTTCCCCAGGAGGCCTTAGGACATGTGGCTGCAGGTGTCTTGGCTGTGGTTAGATCACTTTACAGCCATACTTAATTGTTCTTGCCACTGGGCCACTGTGTAATATTAAGAACAGCACTCCAATTTTTTTCAGCTTGAATGTGGTATGAAATGCTGCACATCTGGCATAGTTGGGGAATGAGTTGTCTCATGAGTAAAGCTCACTGTGTGGGTGCTGAAACTTGGTTTTGCATTATTGGATGGAGGTGCTCTGTATTGCATTGGTCCTCCCCGCATGAAATGGGCTGTACTGTACATCATTCTGCCTCCTCCTGGTGACACAGAGCCATCCTATGTGTGTAAGGCTGCCGTAACTAACAGCCCTCAACTTCTGCTGATGAAATGGGACAGAAAGATAACTTGTTTTGTTCAAAGAATACTGTGACTGACACTTGTACGTTATTAGGACATGGCTGGCAGTTAGAGCAAGGTCTTTGCATGGCCTGTGACAGTTGCAAGACAGGCTGGGCCTCATCCCCCAGAGGTTTTTCACTTCCTCCTCTCACTTATGTTTGAACTAAGAGAACCCTGACCACTGGGAAAATGGGGGAAATTGCTGTAGTTTTATAATTTTAACCCCACAAGAGTGATAGCTCTGTCTTTAGCCACTAAGGAATAGTTATGGGAAGGATTTTCAGATCATTGTTTAACAAAGTGAGTAGAATGATTTCCATACTGAATACTTGTAAGACCCTTTATGGATGATCCCGGAATCGTTATTTTTTTCCCCGGTATGATTGTAAGAACTCTCCCTTGCCCTCACATCACCGCTAGGAATCACTTGCTGGCTGGGAATAGCCTGCCCTCTTTGCCCTGTCCCTCCTTCACCGTGTGGGTGGCTGTGTTACTGCTGATGACCTGCATAATAAGCACATCTTCTTGGGCAGGGAGCTCCTTCTCTCCTTTCTCCAGCCCCGCCCACTGTAGAGAATCCAGACCAGGGTCACAAATTCCCATGTTCACAAGGGCCCGGCTGCTACCTAAGTAAGTGAAGTTGCTCAGGTAGAGCAGTGGGGAGTCTCTAGAAAACTAGAGAGCACTGGGAAGGGGGGTCTCTGTTTTACATGCTGCAGTCATTTGTTACCAGATGGAGTATGGGCATGGACTTGTCAGAAGTTCTGAGTTTTCAAGAAAATAAAAAGCCATACAAAACAGATTTTTTCATGTGGTATCTCCCAATTTTTAAGACTTTATATAGGCTGCAAATGGTTGTAGCCTTTCAGTTTTTAATCCTGTCCCCATCCAGACCTTGGCTGCTGGTGGGGTTGGCTTGCTCTAGTGCTGAAGAGCCAGACAGCTGCCCCTCTGCAGATGTGCACCACAGGGCCAGGTGGACCGATGCTCCTCCACGTCCTTTCCCCTCCCACCACCTCAGCCCAGGGTCCTTACCAGCCCCTGGGCAGGCAAGTGCTGGCATCCCCTTCACTGTGGTCTGGAGGAACACGGAGGTTCCACTTGTGGGGCTGGAGTGGGAAGTGTGTGTGTTGAGGGGAAATGGAGGCAGAGTGAAAGCAGTGTCAAGGCTGGTATTGCCTTTGGAGTTGGAATTTGGAGTGTTTTCCTGTGGAAATAATGTACAAATGAAGCATAGGTTCTGCACTATTATGGTTTTCATTCTGTCACCTACATCCTTAGTTAAATAGGTTTTAAAACTATGGCTATGCTACTTAACAGCTGTTTTTAACATTTTAGTTTTGGAGGAAAGATATTTCCTAGTTCCAAAGATCTGAACAATCTTATGGGTGTCTATTGGAGTCTCTATCAGTATACTCCTTACTCTGTCACAGGGATGTATAACACATAATTTGAAGCAGTTTATCAACAGTAATGAAGAAGTAATATGAGCTCCCTCTCCCAGGCTGCTTTCTAGCTTCTCCCCATTTGCTTATGAGTTTTAAATACCTCAGACACTTAAACAGAATTATATTTTTATTCTTGGGTGAACCAGTTGTCTGTTTGAGGGTTTTCAACTCATTAAAGAATTCTGCAGGAGCCCAATGAAGAGAGTGCCTCCAGCAAGGCTCATTAAAAAGGAAAGGCTGATCTGAAATACCACTGATGTTAAATGCTGTGAATTGATTAAGAGGTGGAATAAAATCAATGTATCACACTCATTAGTTTACAAGAATTATGTTGACCTTATGTTCGGTCCTAGATCAAATGTGTGGTGTTTACTTGTTTTCTCATAGAAGTATGAAAACTCCCTAAGCTTATCCTGAAAGATGGGAACTTATTTTTCAGCTAAAGCAGAAAGCTAATGCATCTGTTGGTACATATTTGCTCTGTAATAGTGAGTTCCAACAGGAAATTGCTCTGCAATTAATATTGAAGCATAGTGTAGAACCTATTCTTCATTTGTACAACGAACTTGGGCAAGTCATATAATACAACCTTTTAAGCCTTAGTTAATTCATCTGTACAATGGGTATAACTTAAGGTGGTTTTGAGTATTACATGAGACAGAGTATTTAAACTACTGTCATAGTATCGAGCACACAGACAACACTTAGTATATGGTTGTTATTATTGGTATCATTATTATTATTTGAATCAGAGCCTTCTAGGCCATTTGAGGACTAAAGCTTTTAATTTTTTATCTTGTGTCTTTTGTTACATTTTTTAACATCTTTGTTGATGTTAATAATTCACATGCCAGAAAATTCACTCATTTAAAGTATACAATTCAATAGTAAATTCACAGGTGTGCAACCATCACCACAATGTAATTTAAAACATTTTCATCACCCCAAAAAGAAACCTTGTAGCTAGCTGTCAGCAGTTACCCACCATTCTTGCCACCCCCTCCCCCAACTCTCTGCAGCTCCAGGCAACCATTAATCTACTTGCTGTCTGTGCTGGGTCATATGGTAACTATGTTTAAAAATTTCAGAAACTGCCAAATTTTCAAACAGGCTGCACCATTTTATAGTCCCATCACAGTGAATGAGGGTTTCAATTTTTCTACATCCTTAGTAACACTTATTATTTTCTGTTCTTTAAATTACAAGCATCATAGGGGATATGAAGTGGTATCTCAGTGTGGTTTGGATTTACATTTCCGTACTGACTGAGGTTGAGCATCCTTTCATGTGCTTATTGTTACTGGCCATATGTGTATTTTCTTTAGAGAGATGTCTATTCATACTCTTTGACCATTTTGTAATTGGGTTAATTGTCCTTTATTATTGAGCTGTAAGAGTTCTTCATAAATTCTGGATACAAGTCCCTTACCAGATACATGATTTACAAGTACATTCAACCCATTGTGTGGGTTGTCTTGGTATTGCTTTTACTAATTGATAAATATGGACCTTTCTTTAGATATTTAATGCTTCCGTGCCCTCTTAACTGATTTGCACAAATTCTCTTTCCAGCCTTTATTTCTATACCTTGCTCTCCAGTCTGTCCACGAGCCCCTTCAAGTCCCTGAGGAGTACCTGAAGCCATATGACTTTATCCAAGATAAGAATAGGCATTACTATGCAGGAATGGTGTCCCTTATGGATGAAGCAGTGGGAAATGTCACTGCAGCTTTAAAAAGGAATGGGCTATGGAACAACACGGTGTTCATCTTCTCCACAGGTAAGTCTGTCAATAGGAAAATCATCTCTTGGCAAAGCCTAGGACGTGGTATTCGATAAACAGAATGAAGACAAATTGGAGCATGTAGAAGTTCCTTATTAAAATAAATGCTAAGTGCAAGAGTGGAGACATGGTAATAATGGATAGAAAAATGTGTCTTAAGAAGGAAAAATAGGCCTTCCCCCTCTTCCTTCAGATATCAGAATATTCTGGAAGTATGCTCGAGAACAAGCACTCGCTAACTGAGTAACTATGAGTGGACATCACTCATATGTAGGGCAGCTGGGCCATGTATCCCTGGAGCAGCTTATTCTCAGCAATCTCAACAGTCTAGGCATCCTCTGTCAACAGGACTCTGGCTGCCTAGAGCAGCCTCTGTATTAGTGCAAAGACACAGATTGTGACATTAAGAAGACATAAGAAATGGAGCCATTTAAATCTAGGCTAGTCTCCAAGTATAGATTTTTTGTATTAAGATTGTTCTGACAATAAAAGTCATTCATGTTCATTACAGCAAAAACAGAAAAGAAGGAAGAAAGAAAATTTTTGAAAATCATTTTCATTATGACAATGTCTTTCTGATTCCTAATCTGTAATATATGTGAATTTTTTTTTTTTTCCTGTCTCAAATACATAGTTTTCTAAAATTTCCCTTTAATGTGCTTTGGGTATAGATCTCAGTTTATGCATTATGCTGAATACTCTTACTCATCTGAGTACAGATACTTTCTATTTGAAAATGGATATCTTTTTTTATGGGTAATTTTAGTGTATTATTTATTTCAGAATTGTTTGGCCCTCCATCCCACTTGTTTCCTATCCTCCCTTTACAAAACTCCTGTTATTTGGATATTGGACCAATCTTGCAATTTTCTTAGTTTTAGTTCCCTCTCATATTTTCTTTATTTTTCTTCTATTATTTGGGAAATTTCCTTGTCATTATTTTGTAACCTTTCTGTTGAAACATTCATTGCAACCACCATATTTAAGAAATCTCTTTTCTGAGGACTCCTTTTTTTTTTATAAAGTTATATTTTTACTTTATGTGTAATAATTTCTTTTTCCAAAGTCTGTGCTCTTAACCACTAATTTTATATATGTGTGAGTATGTGTGTAGGTATGTGTATACATATATGTACTGGTATGTATGTATGTGCATGTGTACATATACACATTTTAAAGTTTGTACTCCCACATTGTTTTTCTCCCATCTAAGGTCATTTGTATCTTTTTTTTGGTCTGTCTTTCATGAAGGAGGCTTTCTCAAATCCTAGGGGTCCTTGGCTAAAACCTAAAAATTTGAATGGAAACTCCAAGGGTGAGGATAGGACTTGTCTTCTGGTGAGTTTTACTGAAAAGTGACTGTAAAGGGTGTGAGGTGACATGTTGAGGAATTAATCTAAGTATTCTACTCATAGCTTTTTGTTGTTGCTTTTTTTTTTTGAGCTGTTTTGTTTTACTTTGCTTTTAATTAGGTGTGGTTATTGAGTCTACCTTCTATTCCATGCTTACTATGTGTGGGACATAGTTTTAAGTGCTTTACATGAATTAGTTCAGTTGATCCTCACAATAATTCTCACAATGACTGTTATTATCCCATCCTGCAGATGTGAAAAGTAAAGTGCAAAGAAGCTAAGTAACTTGGGCAAAGTTGCACAGCCAGGTAGAATCAGACGTCAGCCTTTCTGGCTCCTCTGCAGTCTCCTGTTTCTGAGATGATGCCAATGATGATCTGGTTGTTCTTACTGGACCTCATGATATATAGCAAAGCTTTCCCCATAAATTGCTACAATATTCACCATTTGAGGAGCCTGGCAGGGCCAGGGGTAGCATCCACCCTAAGCAGCCTTGTTCAGTTGCTTTAATGTTACATAAATAGTATAATTTTCTAAGTATGCCCTGCTGTGAAAAATGTTGAATATAACATGTTTCTCTCCCCTGTCTGCAAAACCTACCCATCATAAAAGAGGGGCATCTTCTACCGAAGTCCTTACAAGATCTCTCATATTCTGAGAGTGTTTCTGAATTTATTTTGCTTTGAACATCCTGCTAAAGCACTCTGATCAGCACTGGTATTGTGTGATTATAGAAGTCACTAAAAAGAATCATTGAGAAAGGAGCCAAGACATTTAGTACTGATTTAGTAATTATTCATGTAAAATGACCTCACAGTTGCAGGAATTTGAAGTTATAAGTTTATAAGACAACTCTATGTTGTAGAGATCATAATTATATAGCTTAAGGAGAAGTGATTTCCTGAAATGAAAGAATATGTGGATTAATGTATCATATACAGACTGAAAAGTGCCCAGGTAGAAATGAAGACGGAAAACTGTTAAATATCTCAGAGTGGCTCCTGTGACAATAGATATTAATTCAAGGGTGCATGGAAAGAGATGGAATAAAATTTTTTCATGATATGTAAGAGTGGAAAAAAAGTATTTTCAGATTTTTTATTATATGATTTTAGGTGTGTATACATAACTATATTTTAAATATACTTTTGACTATTTCATAAATATCCATAATATATTATTTATTCAAGCTGGCAAAAATAATTTTTTATTTTTTTTATTTTAAATTTTTAATTTTCTCGCTGAGAAGATGAGGATTACTTTATAAAGGCTGTCTTATAGTCTCACACTATGATATATGAATCGGTACGTTAATCTTGGACTGTAGTTGCTTTGTTGGGCTAAATCCATCTCGTGTACGTACTTTTATTATACTGTGGAATTCAGTTTGCTCAGGTTTTATTTGTTTATCTGTATCAATTCAGAAGTGACAACTGGGTTGGTGGCTTCCTTTCTCTTTGTTATGTTTTTCTTGATTATGCTTGCTTCAGAAAATAGTTTGCATGACTTTTCCATCTTTTCTGTTTTGGAATCATTTGTAGATTGAAAGTTCTCTGGTTAAGCTGGTCCCCAGAACCTTTTCTGGAGGTGTTCAAAAAAAGGAATTATCTCCATAGTTTAAATTTTTTGCTGAAATTATGTCTAGGTGTGAGTTTTAAAAATATTTAAAAATTAATTTTGCCTAAAATATATGAGCCCTTTGATCTGTATGCTGAGATTATTTTTTACTCCAGGAAGTTTTCCATGTTCATACTTTATTGCTTCTGTTCTGCTCAACTTATTTCCCAAAAATATCTTTAATTAGTAGGTTGAGTCACTGATTGAGCTTTTCTTAGATCATTTTCAGTTTCTTGTCCTTTTCCTCAGTCTTCTGGAGTACCTCTGCATTAGACATTTTTGCAATTTTAATTCTGCTCTTTAATGTCTCCAATGTAGGTTATGATTTCTTGGATTTTTAGTTTTATAGTCTATTCTTTGCCTCAGTCAGTTCTCTTTACTTTGAAACTTATGAGTATAATAATAATAATAATAATAATAATAATAATAATAATAACTACCATTTATTAGATATTTACCACATGCCCAGGTCCTGTCCAGTGCCTTTCGCATGTTTTCTCACCATTGGTCATGTTGTAAGCATTAAAGGTCAAAGTAACCTTATGAAATAGATTTCTTTATCCCCATTTTATAAATGAAGAAACCAAAACTTAACGAGGGTAACTGATTTGCCCACGGTTGCTGCTGTGGTCTGAATGTTTGTGCCCACTTGAAAGCCCCTGTGGTGGTGGTGGTGGAGGTGGGGCCTTTGGAAGGTGATCAGGTCCTGAGGGTGGAGGCCTCAGGGGTGAGATCAGTGCTTATGAGAGACCCGGAGAGCTCCTGGTGCTTTCCTCCATGTGAGGATGCAGTGAGAAGGCTCTGGCCATGAGGCAGGAAGAAGCCTCACCAGAAGGCGACCTGCTGGTGCCTTGGTCATGCCTTGCCAGTCTCCACAACTGTGAGAAATGAGCTAGTGGTGTTTGAAAGCCAACCCTTCTGTGGTATTTTGTTATAGAATAGAACTTTCCTAAAATCTTCATTTCTGTAGTAAATCATTACCAGCTATATATTCTTCCTCTGAGTATAAGCAGTGAAGGGTCTGTCCACACAGAGTGCACGGCTACCTCTTGGCCACTGGTCACTGTTCCCTGTTAGTTTCTCCTCGGATCTGTGCCTTAAAGTCACGTCCATGCACATAACCCCTCTGTTTCCTGGTGGCCCTTAGGCGTTGAGTCTTCTGTGTTCCAGACTGACCTGTGGAACGGACTGACCTACCTGACATTCTGGCTACCATGTTCTTTACAGGCTAAATGAACCCCAGCATGCATAGCTCCCAGACTCCTCCTGTCTCCATTCCTTCAGGGCCTTACTTTTGGGGGCATTTTCCAGGACACAGTGTGTCCCACTGCCAGACCCTTTTCTTCTACCCATGGTTTCTGGGATTTGTAATCTCTAATTGCATACAGAAAGTTGAGGTAGTAATTCTCTGGTCATGTCAAAACTTAGCACTGTCCCCTCCAGGCTGCCTTCCTGCCTTTTTCTGGTAGGCGGAGTGGCTCTGTGTCATGATGCAAGCAGGAGGCCGGCCCTTGCTTCTTCAGCCCAGCTTCTTTCATCTTACAGTTTATGTAAATTATTCCAAGATTCTCTGGGGTTATAGATTGTCCACCAGTGCTGGTTTCTCACATTATGATGAGTTTTCATCTTATTCTAACTCATCACAATGCGATGTTATTCATCTTATTCTGTGTCTGCAGTACTTGAGCACAATATTGGCTAAGAGAGGTGGCAATGGCGGCCATTAGGAAGACAACATTTTAACCTGTTTCCTATCACAATGGCTGTCTCTGGTTGCTGAACTCCAGGAATCTTCACAGAAGTCTGACCCTGAGTAAAATGAGCTAAAATGAAAGCCAACTCTGAAGCAACTAGATCATAAATTAAAACAAGAAAAACTGATTGTAAAGCCCTGAAGAGAAAATAGTAATTGATCTCAACATCTTTATGCAGCTATTATATATTTATATTAACTCCTATCAGAATAATCAGTTTTCACTTACATTTAGATGAGAGTTTGACTATAAGGAGAGACCTAATTTGCAGTTC